TACAATTGCAGGGGCTGAAACTTATGTTGGTCCACCATGGTGTTCGTTATATCAAGATTAAAGTTTATTCAGAAGGGGTGGTCATGGTGATATCACAACCCCATTTCCTGCTAACAGTATACAGACATTTCATTATATGACGCTGCAGGACCGCCGTAAGCCTGCCGGAAGATTTCGAAAAATACTTCTGGCCAGTCAGCTTTCCAGGCCTGTCTGCAGCGTCATAAATTGACGCTCCTATAGCACACAGATAAAAAATATTTCAATCAGCAGTCTGTTGTTCGAAATTCGTGAAATCCATTTTAGTTGGGTAAAAATTTAAGGTGACCTTGCTCATGCGAGTAAATAGGTAAATAGGTCACAAATGGAAGTAAACCAGCTGTAATAGACAAAATAAGCTTTCGATTTGTATCACTAGGTATCAGACCAGTACAGTTTCATTACAAGCTAGGTAGCAGACGCACATGTGCATGTTCAGAGGCTGGTTTCAGTAGTCAAAATGGTGACCACGCTTCAGATTATACTACCGAAGAGCAGCCTACTTTTTTTCTTTTTCTGTGGGCAAAAGGACTCAGTGCAAAGAATATTCACAAAGAAATATTTCCCGTCTATGTTGGGAAGTGATTTGGCTCTTAAAACGGCTCTCAACTGGGTCGATAAATTCTCTCAAGGACCTTCGAAAGAAGCAGATGATGAAACGGAGGTGCAGAAATGGCTAAGACAGCAGTCAAATTACTTCTGTGCTGTGGGTTTCGACGCACTGGTAAACCGATCAGACAAGTGTATCAATGTTCAGTGTTGGTGGAGGTTATGTCGCGTAATGTTTTTCAGTTTTAGATTCATATGTTTTACGTTTAATATCTATTTGTGGCATCTCTCTCGTAGTTAAAATGTACACCATTAAGAAGCATGGCAGGCATGGAGGTACAGCACCACGTGCCTGTATAAACATTAGCTGGAGGTGTGCGCTAAGCTTCATGCTTCTGCCGCTTTACTCCAAGAGGAAGATCCTCTGATACTTATTAGATTAGAGAGTGGATTGGCCCCAGAGTCAGTCTTTATTCTGTGGAGAAGGGAAAACTTCTTGCCCGTGCTGGAAATACAGAGTCCATCCTTTTTCATGCAAACCTAGCTGCTACACAGGAGACGAAGTTTCTATAGGGTTATTTTGTGCTGCTCTTTAAATAACGCCTCTTAATAAGAGCTTTTGTTTCGGATGTGGGTCAGCAGTTCCAAGCCCGTCCTTTGAGCCACTCTTTCCGTCAGATGTTTTGACACCGTACCTGTGTGTTGTGACTGACACATTACAGTCGCTTGTGGCATGTTCTCCGAGCCGGGTCGATAGCAATCTTGGAGACAAGTATGTGGTGTAGCCTTTAAGAAATTAGGCCGCGGGTCACAGATAATATGCGTGTGCTCTGCGTTACACGTTCAAAGGCATGACAAAGAGGGGACTGTATAGCTTCTGAATAAACCGTCGGGTCTGAGGGCTTCTCTAATATTTACCTTCCTTCTTTGGCAGTTTCTGGTATCTCATTTCAGAAATTTTTGAAAAAGGGGAATAAGCTATATCTCCAATGTAGTTCCACCTTACCTTATGCTACCTGCGTCACCATTTGCCACGCAGATGAAAACAAATTAGTGATACACCAGAAACTTATTTGAAAATGTTAGGCCCACAGTTAGAGAGAGAGAATAAAGAATGTCATAGTAGAAAGGTGGATGTAAGAGAATTTAATTGGAGACCGGAGAGAAATTTTATTTCGTGGATAGAATCAAGGCCGGTCACGGTAGCTGAGCGGTCTGAGGCATGTACTGTCTTCGCTGGCTCAGAAGCCGGGATCATGGATTTGAATCCCACATAAGACATGGATGTCTGGTATGTATACGTGTATTTTCTATGTTTTTGTTGTCCTGTGTTTAGGTAGAGGCCTTGCGACGAGCTGATCACTCGTCCAAGGAGTCCTACCGCCTGTAAAATGATCAAACTGGAAAATAAAAACAACCGCGACACGGTGAGGTATAAAGACAATGGATTAAGTAAGTAAGAAAGAAGAAAAACATTTTGTTAGAAGGTTCCCACCTTTCGCCCGCTCATCTTTCTGCTAAATATGTTATTATAGTGAAGCCCTTACATTGATTAGATATAGTGGCTTGAGTCAAAGCCCCGTCGATTTTCGATTTGAACAATTTACGAGTTTCACATACGTCTAAAGAGTATTTAACTGCAATTTTTGTGTGTGGTTCTGTATGAGTGTGAAACTTGGTTTCTGACATTAAGGGAGGAACATAGACTGAGAGTATATGAGAACAGGGTGCTGAGGAGAATATTTGGACCGAAGAGAGATGAAGTGTCGGGAGATTGGAGAAAACTGCATAATGAGGAGCTTCATAAATTGTACACTTCGCCAAATGTAATTAGAATGATCAAGTAAAGGAGGATGAGGTTGGCAGGGTATGTAGTACGATTGGAGGAGAAGAGAAATGCATATGGGATTTTGACGGGATAGCCAGAAAGAATTTTTTACAAATCTGTATTATTCACAGCCTCGTCAATTGGAACTGTCCCAGTCCCTTACTTCAAACACACGGTATCGTAGTTGAGCGAGGCATTAAGCTATATAGCTACATGCCGGAAGGTCGCAGGTTCGAATCCCGATGAGGTAATTGGATTTTTAAAAAGACCTAATCCTTCCAGCCACACTATGGCCCTGAGGTCAACTGAGCCTCTAACAGAAATGAGTACCAGGAATCTTCTTGGGGGGTGAAGGGCGGCCGGCGCGTAAGGCTGACAACACCACCGCCATCTGTGAGCCGATTTTCTGGAAAATATGGGAGACTCGACGTCTCTCAAACTTATGGGCCTTCACGGCCTATTTTTCCGGAGTAGCTTTACCTTCTTTTACGTACTCTTACATTCAAATCGTTATACCCAATTACGTTTATATGGGGTCTACTTTCACACATCCCGTTCCTCCTGTTTTAATGTTTTAATATGGCGCCATTAAGCAACAGCGGTAAGTATTATTTGCCTCAAACAAGCACGTGGATTTCTATGAAGTTACGAATTCTGTTACGTTCTAAACAACCATTTCGACAGAAGAGAATCGGACGATAGGAAATCATCTCCTCTTGAATAGCTCAGAGCAATGGGAAGTTTAAATTTGCAGCTAAGGCATGACGACTTTGTACACTGAGGACTTCTGTTATTTGGTTATCAGGAAGTAGTTTATTTTTGCTTGTGTCCTGTGGAAAATATTTCAGATAACTGCGAAGTAAGGTATTGCGAGGGAGAGTCAGCGAATAGATCACAATTGGATATGAAATTTGAAATATGTGATATTCGAACCTGGAAAAGAAACACATTTAATTATCTCGATATATCCTACACCGACATTGATGCTCTTGTCTCATTGCTTTACCAGTGCGTCGAAACTCACAGCATAGAAGTCTTTTGACTGCTGTCTCCGCCCAACTCCACACCTCCGTTTTATCATCTGTGACTTTCGAACATCCTTGAGAGTTTCTCTACCGATTTGTGAAAAGCTTTCAGCGGCAAACACTTACCACCGTAAGCAGAAAATATTTTTCTGTGAATATGATTTGTATTGAGTCTTTTTGCCCACAAAAAAATCGACAACAGAAAGCTGCTCTATGATAGTATACCTTTCAAGCACGGTCGCCAGTTTAACTACTGAAACTAGACTCTGAACATGCGCATGTGCGTCTGCTACCTAGCTTGTCAAGAAACTGGACTGTGCTCCTATTTAGTAATACATATAAAAATGTATTACGTCCATTACAGCTGTTTTACTTCCATTTGTAACATATTTACTGACTCCCTAGTGTTCTGATTACATTTTTGCTTCCCTCTCGTTATCCAGCAGTTTAAGTACAAAGGTTTCAAATTTGTGCTACAAGCCATGTCTTTCATTAAGAATCCATGTGCATATGAATACATTTCCTTCGACATGGCGAGGCGGGTAAAACGGAATATTACATTGCCTCACTATTCCATGACGCAAGTGCCTTCGACGTACACGGCTAAAACACGCATTTCTTTCATTTGATTACACCAAAAAAGTTGTTAAATATAACGCCAAAGAAGCTGTATTTACACCTTGAAAGTAAAAATAAAGTTCCTTGAAGCAGAACACAAGCATTGTTCTTATTTTTGTTGAAATTTTTTGAGAAAAAGTCATAAGTTTTCACTTACAGCCGATAGGTGTCACCACAGCTCGGCATGCACTGTACTGGTCGGTGCAAATAATAGCAAAGTCCGTCACCGTGACACAGCAGGAAAAGGAACATTGTACNAGTTGGCGTGGATGGCGTTATATAGACAGGAATTCTTCTGTACAAGAAAGATACAGGTCCTCTCTGCGTACTGAGGGCATGTGGAACATGTGCGCCAAGTGCAAGGCCGTAGTCCACACAAGTGGATCCGAGTTTGCAGCTCCTCATCTACAAACCACTGTAAGCTTACAGCTTGCAGCTGCTTCAAGCAGTCATGCCAGAAGACATGGCAACTGGCAAGGAGTTCGCTGTCCCCGCACTTCAGCTAGTGCACAAAGGCATCGGTTTCTGGAATAAAATTTTTTCTACACGAACCAGTATTCCACAGGTTCAGAAAGATGAACAAACAGAAGCCTAAAACTCTGGAAACAAACCGACCCCATTGAGCTGCAGCGCTAAAAACCACTGGCACGTTTTCCTCACTCGCTATTGCTGTAGATCTATACCGAGGAATTCTTTCTGAAGACAGCAACTTCACGAAATTTTATAATATTTGGTCCCCGCAAATGTTTTGAAATTCATTTTCTCCGAATTCATTGTAAACGTGGCAGTAAGGCTTAAAAACGGAACAGTGGATGGATTTTCCGTGGAAAAACATGATAGATATGGCAGTTGACCGATCATTCTATTGCTAACGAATATTTGTATATTGAATGAACAATTGATTCATACTTTAAGGTAATCTTGGTTTCGTATATTTTCAGCGTGGTTGCTCGGTTGGTGGATGTGCAAGACGGTGCCTTACGTACAGGGGGTCTCCGTAGCGGCGTCTGTCTACAGCCTCATTGCCGTCTCACTTGACAGGTAAGTAAACGCACCACTTCGCATGTGAGCCTCACAGCCTATTGTGAAGATTAAGCTGTATGTACAGGCACGCTATGTCTTTGTGACAAACTCTGCCAGATAAATATTTAGATATCTGTCATTAATACTTGAGACTCGGCCGCGCCATAGCTCAAGCGGTTAGTCGCTTGCTTTCCATCGTGGAGGCGCGGGTTCGATCCCGGGTCTGATAAAATGGGATTTGTGGTGGACAAAGTGTCCCTGGGGCATGTTTCCTCCGAGTACTTCGGTTTCCCCTGCAAATCTTCTATCCACCAATTGCTCCACAATCACCCTCACCTATCATCTGGGGCTGGTACAATAGGCCAGAAGTGGCCGCAGTACAAGGGACTTAGTCCCAACCCACTAGCAATAAAGAAATACTTGAGACTTGGCGTCCTTTAGAGCCTCTTTAGACGATGACCAGTCTGGTAGACATTTTCTGAGCATTCGGAGGAACATGGTGCCTCAAGTTTCAAAATAAAGCAAACTACACTGTGTCATATCTCTGAAGGTAGTTATTTTCACGTCTCTATACTAGTGACCTAGCCGGTCACGGTAGCCGAGCGGTCTAAGGCATGCACTGTCTTCACTCGCTCGAAAGCAGGGATTGTGAGTTCGAATCCCACTCAGGGCATGGATGTTTGTGTGCGTTTTTCTGTGTTTGTCTACAGGTAGAGGCCTTGCGACGAGCTGATCACTCGCCCAAGGAGTCGTACCGCATGTGTAAGATCTAGTAAACCGAAGTGAAACGGAGAGTTTCATGGATGTAGGCCTAGGCCGAAAATTGGGGCTGTAGCGCCACAGAAAAAAAATACTAGTCACCTAGAGGCTGCGGTCACCATGCGTAGTAGTACGAGTATATACCTGGAAGTGATATCCCTCAGTTCGATTGACTTTCATCTACGTTTCGGAAGAGCATTGTCCATACCACAACCCGGGTTGAAGGATAAGCCAAGAAAGTACAGCCAGCTTACTTCATGCCGGGTCTTTATTTGGTTTAATTTTCAACCATGAAGATGGAAGAAATACGTTCCTCCGAAAAGCATTTAATTCCTGTTAAGGTACATGGCGACACATCCCAGAAGATATCTCTCTACAACGCCAGGCTCATTCAACATGTCATAATTAAATTTATGGGGCTGGGCCCTTCTTGAAAATCTTCCAGTTGTGCAGCTATTCAAGAACTTACCAGCGTTTTATGGAACATGTAGATTCATTACCGTGTTCAAAAGAGCCTTCCACTGGTTCCTATCCCGAGCCAGATGGATCCCGTCCATACCGTCCCATCCTATCTCTCTAAGATCCATTGGCACATTATCCACCCACCTACGGGTTGTTCTTCCTAGTGGTCCGTTTTCTGTTGGCTACCCCACCAATATACTACAAGCATTATTCTTTGTCCAATTTATGCTACATGCACTGCCCATCTGATCCGCGTTGACTTGTTCGCTCTAATTATATTTGGAGAGGGACAAAAATTATGAAGCTCCTCATTATGTAGTTCTCTCCAACCTCCTGTCACTTCATTTCTCTTCGGTTCAAATATTCTCCTCAGCGCCCTGTTCTCAAACACCCCCAGTCTATGTTCCTCCCTTAATTTCAGACACCAAATTTCACACCAATACAGTACCACAAACAAAATTATAGTTTATTGTATTTCTTATTTTTATGTTCTTAGACAGCAGAAAGGAAGACAAAAGGTTCCGGACTGAACGGTAGCAAGCATTGCCCGAGTTCAATCTCCTCTTAACTTCCTCCTGAATCAAATTTTGACTCCTTATCGTCCTTCCCAAATGTTTAAACTGTGCCACATTATCAAAGCATCTGTTAGCTATTTTCATCGTATCACATGTCTCATAAATGGAATCAAGTTTTAGAGATCCTCGTTTGCATAATCGCTATAGCGAATAACTACGGGGTTACAAAATGTAAACAAAACACCGTTTTGACTACTGCTGATGTTGTTTGCTCCTCAGAAGTATGGGCGTTATTGTTCTTGTATTAGTGATAAGGAGACGGGGTTTGATCGCTGAGTCGATATATTGGAGATCCACTGGGCGTAACTGCAAATAATTACAACTCTCTCATGATTATTGCACACGAAACAAAGTCTTCTATATCTGCTTGCACTAGTCGTTGCTGGGAAACAGATCTCAACAGTTGCTGCACTTTTACAATGTCTTCACTATTCGATTCTTGGCAACGGATACACAGAGACTATAAATTCTCACCGAATTACACACTCTAAATATTACACATCCAGTCTTCGCTTCTCAGCTTCACTCTTGCAACTAACTCTTTTCTTCACAGCTTCCCGTGCAGAACTGAACTTTCCTGGCCTCAAAGCTCCTTGCTCCAATTCGCTCTAATAAGAAAGATGACAGCGAATTGGTACAAGGAGCTGTGAGAGTACAGGAGAGTCCAATTGAGAGTTTACGGGCATTCCTCTGTTGTTATAGAAACGGCCCATATGTCACAATATGAAAACCAGGCGCGGCTGCACTGAGGCTTCGGGAGTACTGGGCTATAGTTGCCATGTGATCTATTGAGGGCACAGTTTTCCGAGAAGTTGAACAGAGTTAGAAAAGGGCCGACGAGTGCTGTGTACCCAAGAAGACACTGAATTATTGTTATGAACACCGTGCTGGAAAATAAGAAACAAGCAGATATCTACACTAGATTATCTCGAAAAATTTGTACCGACTACGACAAAGTGAAAGGTTCAGGCAAAAAGGAAGGAATTTTTATGTAAATTACAGAAAAGTTAAAGGCAAAAGCAAATAATGGTTATCATTATCTGTCGCACCAAGAAGGTCCAGAAAACATATTATTATTTTATTGCCACGTGTTAAGTGAATACATGCAGGTTCTGAGGTTTACAGAGGAGAGAAGATCTGTTGTTACTATCGGAGATCAGACTCTGATTCCTCGTTCTTTCTGCTCTTAGCCTTGTCACTATGTCGGCTGAGTTATTCTCGCTCCCGTTTGTTTAGATTCCCGCTGTGCTTCCGCACATTCTTATTTCGAGACTCTTGAAGCAAAGGTTTCCTTTAGATGAAGCCAGTCTTGTCCAAACCATCTGCCGTTGATTGCTGAGTCTAATTTAAACTTCAAAGTATGTCATTGCAGGAAAGACATGGTTTACTCTTTGAGACATGAATTTCTTTAATAATATTTGAAACGCCACACTTTCTTCGCGGAACACGCACTCACTCTCGCGGGGTTCTCACCGTGGTGGTAATGCAGACCACTCTCTTAACGGGATGCGACAGCGTGTGGTCTGGTAGACATTTTCAGTTATTTGTGTACAATATCCTGCTTCTAGCTTCATGATACAAGAACCCTGAAATGAAGGTAACGCGTATCTCAGAAATGTCTGTACAGCAAACTATCCACTCTCTCAGTTGATAATACTGTCAACTGTTAAAGAACTGTATTGATAATTGGACGTAGTGAACTCTTGTAGACAGTAAATAAGTTAACTACAACATTTTGACGGATCTACACAAACTATAGATCACCGTACTGCAGCATACATACAGTCTTATATGTCTTCTTCAGCCGTTGCCTGATAACGGCTCCAACAATATCCCCTTCTGCTCGTGTCATTGCCGGTTTTCTGCATCCTCATAGCTAACTCATGACTGCAACTGCCTTTTCAATCAGAATCACTTTAATTCTGGTAGTTTACATGTAATCTGTTCGTCTTTGCTCAAAGTCAGTTGAATCTCATGACAAGAGCTTTTTGCGACTGAACCCTTGTCGTTGTGCCGATCACAGTGGCCGTAAGGTCTAAGGCATGGACTGTCTCCGCTCTCTAGAACACTGGGATCGTGGGTTCATATCCCACTCAAGACATGGATGTATATGTGCGTTTATTCTGTTTGTGTTATTCTTTGTCTAGGTAGTGGATTAAATGAACTTCTACACTTCACAATGTTTTAAGAATCTAAAACTTGAGAAGGACAAAACTTCATAATTCAGGGACTTTGGTATTTTTTAATAAGTACTTTACTTTCCACATATTTAATTACCTTTACCACAAATAATAGCAAGGGTGGGGCTCTTACCAGGAGCTGGCCCTTTTGAACGCGACCATAAAGCGTTGTTAGTTGGTCTTTTCTTCAGTTTCGTAATCTTTTATACACAGACGGAAAGACTCCTTGAACGAGTGATCAGCCCGTCACAGGGCCGCTACCTAAGCACAGGACAACACAAACACAGAATAAACGCACACAGACATCCACGTCTTAAGCAGAATTCCAACCCACGATCCAAGCTCTCGAGAGAGCGAAGACAGTTCATGTCTCAGACCGCGTGACCACCGAAATCGGCAATGAAACTCCAGGTTCCACAGAATGCTAGGAACCTCCTGAATGGCTGAACAACTCTTCCATTTTTAATAACGACTCCGCTGAATGCAGTTAGTTAGTCACTTAGTTTGTTAGTTTGTTACAGAAGTGCAGCGACTTTATAAACCGACCTACGAATATTAGAAATGCTTAATGCATTTACTACATTCTTTCACTACAGACATGTGTATATACATATATTTATAACAAAATTTTCCAGTATTATATACAATCACCAAATTCTCCTGTTTCAACGTAGAATACACACATACGTATACACTAGTACATAGAGTAAACCCTCGCTAATCCTGTTAAAGCTAATTAGGATGTCAGATAATGCGGATCGAAGTATGAAAAACGAAAAACTGGTGTTCACATTTGAGTGTATACATTAAAAGACGCATGGCATGTAAGGAAGATGATGACTCATTGGATGTTCATACATGCACTTGTTTTGGCTTCTTTTGGACTTCATCCATCGTCTGGTATGTAAAAGACAAAAGACCACGACGTTTCGGAGGCTGGATCTGTCTCCGTCTTCAGGTGGGTGAGGAAGGATAAACCTACTCAGTTGGGCCCGTTAGAAAGAGCTAGTCTCAATCATTCGACTAGTGGTACAGACGGAGA